TTTGGTGTGATAGCAAGTTCCAGAACCCCCGCTGTGTATACATCCTGAGACAAGAGGGCTTCCCAAGGGGGCTTAACAGCGGTCAGGGACTGACCGAAGGCGCGGGGGAACAACAGAAGACACTTAGGGGTCTGTTAATCAACCAAGCAGGAAGAAGATAAACTTTAACACTACATACGTTGTTTTAAGTGTGCAAACAGATCTTCAGGAAAGAGACTGAGGTCAATAGTACTCATAGTAAAACGCAGTCCCTCAATAGCTGCAACACAGATACTTGAGATAACAGTTCCTCTTTTGATGTTGACATGTCCTCTGGAGAGGTCATAAAAGTAGTGGGGGTGAGGGGTTACCAAAGGTGATTGTAACCACAGTAAGCAGGAAATACCTTCAACAGCATTCTACATTGTTTCTTTCAAATCCAGCTAACAGAGAGAAATCATGTCTTAACAAAAACAAAAACCAACCATGGCTGAAGCAAAAAAAAAAAAACAAAAAACAAAAACTAACTGCAACAGAAACATGACAGAAACAAACAATGGCCCAACACCTAATGGTCGTGCCGGGAGTCCTTTTAAAACAGACAACTGATGACACAATGACCAACAGGTGTGCAGCTGCAGGCAGAGCCCTGCAGTGCCACCTGTTGGTCACAAACAGAACCATGACAGGCGGTCACTGAGCCAGGTTTCAGTGAAGCAGAGCGCGGCAGAACGTGCAAAGGTTTTGTTGGTCCGTGTGAGCAGAAGTTCATCCATCTTGTTTGGCAGAGAAGAAAGAAGTGACCAGAGTTTAAAAAGCTTTTCTACTGTAGCTGCAGAAGGTTGTTCAGCTACAATGTCATTCCATCCAGGCTTGATGTTATGAACTTAATTGTTATGTTTACATAAGGGCTTACTAGAAGCGTTATTATTGTCACACATGCCACAGAGTCCAACACCATTATTTGGGTTTTCACAGTTCACATTTAAAAGCATGTCAGAGTATCCAGAGGTAGCTCAACATTATTTAACAGGTTCGTCAGTTACAGTAAAATATCTATGCAGGATGCCCAAACTTTTTTGACCTAAGATCTACTTTTCGATCAACCAACCTCCCGCGATCGACCCGTTACCGCGCACTCGCACGCACATACACACGCATGCCATGAAGAGCAACAGCCGGACGCAGAGGCATGTGACCGTTGCCACGCAATTTTGCAGCCTGTTAACTATCGTAGCTCACGCGTACCATTTTAAAGTGCTTCTCTCGGCCCTCCAGATTGCCATTCTTTGCCAGTGCCCTCGGTGAATTGTACATGAAACAAACTCTGAATGAGAATACTATAATGATAACGATGAAAGATATTGCACAACAGCTCTGATCACAATCTGCAATTGCAGACTACTGAGTGCTAACAACTTCCGGTGACGCAGGTCACGGGCCACCGTAGGTTAAAGATGACCTGCTATATTTTATTTTAGTTTTTAATTAGTTTTTGTGAAAATGAGACTGATAGGATGATTAGGGTGCAGTGTGCATTAACAGAAAAAATATATTACTAACATGCACAGAGACATGACATACAAATGTTTGGGGTTTTTTTTCTCCTCTACTCCCCTCACGATCGATTTGGGACCAGTCCACGAGCTACCGGTCGATCGATCAACGTAATGGGCACCCCTGATGTACAGTATATCTTCCTCAGAAAAATTTGTCCAATCCAGCCTCTCATTATGAGCATCATTATCCTTAACAGCCAGTAATGGTATATCATCAGTGGTGGCCATCACATAGTATACTGTATATCTATATTATCCAGAGATTCATGAGCATCTGCTGTACACAAACAATGATCATGCCATGAGGTTGTGTGCCAAGTTTCAGTAATGTAAGAATTGTTTTTTTTTGGTTTTGTTTTGTTTTTAGTTTTGTTTTTCGGGTTTGTTTGTTTGTTTGTTTTTTTAAATCATTAGCTTAAAATTTTCTGGCTGCAACACGTTACAAAAAAGCTAGGACAGTTGGCAAAAATGACCGAGAATGTTGAGGAATGCTCATCAAACACCTATTTGAAACATCCCACAAGTGAACAGGCTAACTGGGAACAGGTGGACATACAAATGTTTGGGGTTTTTTTTCTCCTCTACTCCCCTCACGATCGATTTGGGACCAGTCCACGAGCTACCGGTCGATCGATCGACGTAATGGGCACCCCTGATGTACAGTGTATCTTCCTCAGAAAAATTTGTCCAATCCAGCCTCTCATTGTGAGCATCATTATCCTTAACAGCCAGTAATGGTATATGATCAGTGGTGGCCATCACATAGTATACTGTATATCTATATTATCCAGAGATTCATGAGCATCTGCTGTACACAAACAATGATCATGCCATGAGGTTGTGTGCCAAGTTTCAGTAATGTAAGAATTGTTTTTTTTTTTTGGTTTTGTTTTGTTTTTGGTTTTGTTTTTCGGGTTTGTTTGTTTGTTTGTTTGTTTTTTTAAATCATTAGCTTAAAATTTTCTGGCTGCAACATGTTACAAAAAAGCTAGGATAGGTGGCAAAAATGACAGAGAATGTTGAGGAATGCTCATCAAACACCTATTTGAAACATCCCACAAGTGAACAGGCTAACTGGGGACAGGTGCGTGCTATGATTGGGGATAAAAGGAGTTTGCCAGAATTGCTCAATTATTTATAAGGAAAGATGGGGCGAGTTTCACCTCTTTGTGAACAACTGAGTGAGAAATTAGTCTACAGTTTAAGTACAATGTTACTTTATGTAAAGTTGCAAGTAACTCAGGGATTTCATCATCTACGGTCCATAATATCATCACAAGGTTCAGATAATCTGGAGAAATGACTGCATCTAAGGGGCAATGCCAAAAATCTACACTGAATGCCCGTGACCTTGGATCCCTCAGGCGGCAATGCATCAAAAACCAAATCAATGTGTCAAGAATATCAACACATGTGCTCAGGAACATTTAAGAAAACCAATGTCAATAAATCCGTAAGTGGAACCTAAAACTGAACTATACAAAACAAAAGCCATTTGTCAACAACACCCAGGAACGCTGGGCCCAAGCTCATCTAAGATCGACTGATGCAAAGTGGAAAAGTGTTCTCTGATCTGACAAGTCCAGATTTCAAATTGTTTTATGAACAGAATACATTGTTATACTCTTTTGCTCTTTCACAACAGCTGCGGCTGAAACAAAGCGCTTTACATAAACCAGTATTACAATCATAACTATGAACCTATGAACACCTCCGATCACTCGTAGATCAGAGACATCATGTTCACAGCATGGAACATGTCTGCTCTAAGCTAAGTTTGACAGTAATCAAGCATTTGAGATCCATAATGTGTGTGTGTGTGTGTGTGTGTGTCAGGGATGTGTTCCTCGAGCCGGTCCTTGGCCTCGAGGACCGGCTCCCCGGCCCCAAGGGGGGC